CTGTCCGCTCTGCCGACCGGCTCCTAAGTACAAGAATGAAAAAGATAATACTCTGAGTGACAGTAATTATGCCATACGACTTGGAGAACATTCACTCGCGGACCATCCCGAGTTGCTCATCATCATCAAGAAACTGATGATGTCACCAGATGTTCCTGACGACACCAAACGCCAGGTTGGTGCGGCTCTTTACGTCGTAGTCACTTATTGACACATTGTGTAAGTGGGACAAGGACAACAATGGGACCACCAGTCCCAGAGAGGAACAATATCAAGACTATGGCTGCTGTTGACAAGAACCATTAGGTTTCAGTTGGAACATTCGTAGCATCAACAAAAGACTGAATGACCTAACTGCATATGTTACCAGTAACAGATAATCGTTTTACAGGAGCCCTACACGTCCAACATGATAAACAAAACTCCACCAAAGATCAGAGGGTATGCATCCTATAACAGTAACGCCACAGGCCTATTAACATACATCAGAAGTGATTTACCGCACATTCATGTACACACACAGTACCATCACATTCATGTACAAACTACAGCAGGCCACTTCTCTTTCCTCAACATATATGCCAGAAGCCAGAAACTCAAATGTAACATTGCTCCTAGATCTAGACAGTCATGGGACAATATACATGGGATATTTTAATGCTAGACATATTACGATAGGAGACATTACTAACAACGATAATGGATGCAAATTTATCAAATATGTTTATGACAACAGATTAACCGTGTATACTACGGATACCCAAACTCGCTTATTGGGCGGCAGACTTGATTATGTAATGGGTAGAAACCTTGTGCAAGATAGGATGGAATGTTCGTTGGAAAATCCCTTGGTGATCACTATGCAGTTTCTGCTTCCTATGAGGTACAGTGTGATGTACCTAATAGACATCTGAGACGGAAAATGAATATTCCATATGGTTTGCATGACCACTTTGTTAATTGTATATCAAAATGGTATCAAGATTACACAATAACGAATGTACATGCCTTCTCCAGAGATCTCATTGATACGATTACTACCTACTACGACACATGGGTGTGTTGGGGAACAAGTCTTAAGCCTAGCAGAAGTGGGCAACACCTACCACCACCCAACTGGATCCTTGACCCCGTATTTGTTAAAACATGAACGAGTAAAGCAACTTGGAGATACGTACAAACGAACCAAAGCACAAGGTGACTTGCATGCATTTCCAGTTGCAAATAGTGAGGTGAGACACATGAGCAACGTTATACGTAATAAACATTGTAAAGAGTTCCTACAAAGTATAAATGAGCAAACACTTGTTGAAGTTTGGGAAAAGATACGAAAAATCTCTAGAAGCAGCCCAACCAAACCACTGCACCACAGCCTACTAGAACAAGCAAACATTCTCCTTGATCAATGGGCACTAACATCATCAAGCTACAGCTCACTCTCAATTAACATACAGCACAAACTTAATGACGCCCCAACAGACAACGAACCATCAATCTTGCCTGTACAGCTATCGAAGTGTCGGACCTTAATGATTTAACTGAATGGGAATTAAATCATGCACTAAAGATGGGAAAATCAACTGCTCCTGGAGAGGACGATATTAATTAAGTCTTCTGAGATTAGTCTCACATGCACCAGGTAATCCACTATTAGTGTTGTACAGAATAAGTTTACGTGAAAGAGATGTTTACCTGATGTTTGGACAAAGTGTCATTGTTCCCATCCCCAAACCACACATAATTGTAGACCCATATCTCTAACATCGTGTGTTTGTAAAGTGCTTGAACGTATTGTTCTTAACAGACTCGTGTATCGTATACAGGGGGCACCTGTCACCCCAACTGTTTGGATTTATGCCTGGGCTCAGTACACAACAGTTTTGCTGAGTACTTCACACATATTGAAGCTTCCCCCTCAAGCAGTCTTCATCGACCTAGCAGCAGCTTTTGATAAAGCAAACAGACAAATCATACTGGAACAGCTTGCCGAGCTGGGAATAAAAGGAAAATTACCGAAATGGATAGAGGGCTATTTGTCTAATCGAACAGCATATGTTTTGTTTAATGGTGTTAAAAGCACAGAGCAAACACTTTGAACTGGGAACTCCAGAAGGAGGGGTCCTCAGCCCCTTGTTCAACGTTCTGATGCATAAACTTAAAGATCTTCCCAACTAATAATGAAGACTCATTTGTTATGCTGATGTTTACAGGCTGCCTCCGAGCCTAGAACACAAGTTCTGCTCGATGCTTTTGCTACTAGAGCTGAGGAATGTGGCCTCCTTATCTCTGTACAGAAAACTCGTGCCCTCATTCCATGTGGTATTACACCACCCAATTATCACATAGATGGGCGAGCACTTGAGAAGTGCGAGTCTTACAGATACCTTGGTGTCCCCATTAACGACCCTGTGTACCTTTCTTCTCTCAAGAGGAGACTGAGGGAGAGATTTAAAGCCCTTGCGGGTCCTTGTTGGTGTCAATCATGGAATCAACGTGAGACTTGCTAGAATGTTTTATGTATCATTTATACGCTCTGTGATTGACTACAATGCTCTACATCTCACACTGTATACTGACAGAGCTGAAATCTCTTTAAACCTTGCAAAATGAAGCTATGCGTCTCATCCTTGGGGCTCCAAAGTCCCCGAGAATAGTTAATATGAGAGCAGAGTTAAAATTACCTACCATAAGTGAGAATTTTGTCTATTAGCACAGTTTTCGGCGTGAAGGCATAGAGTAGATCTAGACAACGCATGACGTTTCAAGCTAAACTTTCTAATATGCTGCACTCACCTGAGGTCTATAGAAGAACGAAATCTGATTATGTATTTTGGTTCTACAAGGTAGCCAACTCCATCAAAATATTAAATATGTACCCTACTCAATGATTAATCAACCAATTACTCCATGGGTTAACTGGGATCTATTAGTTGATTTTGTAAATGCGCCCAAGAAAGATAGTGTGCACTCTACATTATTAAAACAGTTAACACTGAAAAGCATCACTGAAAGTACTCAGAGTATGGGTAACAATGTGTATCAGTGCTATACCGACTGCTCTGTAGAAGGAGGTGGACGATGTACCGGATGTGCATGCAATATATTTGAACAATCTTCTCTCGTACATAGAGCAATGAAGCGCGTCAATGACTGGGCAAGTACAACTCAAACCGAACTTGCAGGCATATACCTTGCCACTGAATTTTTAAAAGACAAAGGCAGTGGACTTGTATACTGTGACTCGCAGAGTGCACTCCTGGCATTGAACGCACATAGTAGTGACACCCAGAAAATAGTCAGTGATATTCGAATGAATGTTTTAGCTGCTAAAGAAAATAGATTTGAAATTAAATTCCTGTGCATACCATCACATGTTGGCATTTCAAGGAATGACTTAATATACTTGCAAAGACAGCCTGTAGAAAACCAGTGGTAGAAATTGATATGGGCGTTTCATTAGCAGTGACAATACTTAAATACCTAATGAAGATCTCACAGACCTAACAAATTCACAAAGACCGGAAAGTTGCAGCATTAAATATTATGATAGATATCGTGAGGAGACATTCACATATGGGACTAATAGAACAAGAACCCGGCAATGCGATGTTATAGTGGCCAGAATACGCCTGGGATATAGACGTATCTGGCAGCCTTCTCAAAACCCAAATGTCGAGTACACAATGTGTCAACTTTGTTAAAGAGAAAACATGCACTCTCTTTAACATTATATTGTAGAATGTCCCATATTGACTGACTTTCGCCCTCCTGGGCTAAGGTATGCTGAACTGTGTAATTACTATACGAGTACTGGAACACTTGATATATTGGACTTGTACCCAAGATTGACCATGTAATGTATCAATTATACAATGTATGTGATGTAACTATATAACCTGAGCTTGTAAAATCAACTTAATCAACTTCAGTGATTAAGTGCTTAATTGCACATTAGTTTCTCTGTCAGCTATCTCACCCTGTCAGTAAAAGAAATGTATGAATGCATGTGTGTATATATGCATGTATATATGTACGTATGTGTGTGTATGTTTATGTACGTGTATAAAGTACATATGGAAGCTGATCAGAATTGCATTTCACCTTTGTAAATGCACATTAATGACACTTCGAACACTTTATGTAGGGCATACGTAAATCTGTGTATCATATGTACATACGTTTGTAGGTTAGCTTAGTATTTTAAAAGTACCGAATCACCTTCTATGGTTGATTGTTCAATAAATCCATGAACTATATGTTTAACTGATCTCTAACCCTATCCATGGAGGACAGAAGAAAATGTATATATGCTGGTTAGCAATGTAAATGTGTGGCCACGTCTGTGGTAGAAAATAATAAAAACTTCAATCTGGGCCAGTCTCCACACCGTATCGTCACGATGTCCCAATGCCTCGCATCTGCTCTACGAAAAAAAAAACACTAGCAGAGGGATTCGGCAACACACTGACAGAGGTTCAAAGAATCACTTTCAAGGGGTATCTAACAACCCTGGCAGAAGTCTCCAGCAACACTTACCAGCACTTCTCAGCAGACGTACACTACCATCATGTCTCAACTCCTCTTAGCCATATCCTGGGTACGTTGGTCTACACAACACTGCACAACTACACTGCTTACTACCGACGGCGGCCACTTGTCCTCTCATAGGACCAAGTCAGGAGTTCGGGACTGCCCGAGGTGAACTAATTTCCACAGCTCAGTATTCATCACGTCAACTCTGAACATAAAAGTCATTAGCCAAAGTATACTGGGTGAACGTAGGTTGGCAATATTCATCGGGGAACTGTGAAATGTAATTTGATGCGTACTCTGTATGGCATTGATATCGTTACTACTCAGAGGTAGTCATCTACCTCACCCAACAGGAATGAAACGGGAGCCTTTTACAGATGCCGCACCTCCGGCAACAGATGGCGTTGTTTGCGTCTCGTCTAATGCCTTGGAGTCTGAGTAGGTCTATTGATGCCGCCGAAATCGCCATTCCACACTCCAACGATGTTGATACGGTAACACCTGTAAATTGAAAATAACCTTTACAACAAAGATTCATTTGCCCGTTTAAATTTAGACAATTACTGAACTCTTAACATCCTTTCAGACCATAAACATCTAATATCCAGGTTTGAAGAGTGAGGGGGGGGGGGGGTGGCTTCAAGTTTCTCAAGGCAATGAGTTTGGTTTGAGGACGGGCCGAGTACAGAAGACGGTACACCAGGTACAATTTGGAAAATTTAAGCCTTCAGGAACTAGGCCAAAAGTAATATGGGATGCGAGACATCCCATCTCCGAGTGTGATGTTAATATTGTCCTCTTAAAAAACCCTTAAAACCCCCATCTGTCCCCTTTAAACCCTAAGGGTTTCAGATATCAGCGACATACGAGGTTGCCCAACAAACTGCGCTTGCACATGTCTAAATACTCATTTAGAACCTAGTATACTACACACATTAGACTAATCCTAGAGTACACAGCTCCAGCATGGAGTCAGTCGTGTAATTTCCTAGATACGAAGTTTGGAGGCGATTCTAAGGTATGCCACCAGACTAGTACCAGACATGAGATATTGGCTACGAGGAAAAAAATAGATTTAAATTTCGCCTAACAGTGAAATTAAACATGATCACCACATACAAATTTCTGGAAACTTAGAAATACAAAAGTCATTTAACACTAGTGGTGCTCTCATGAAAGGACACTTATGGAAACCTACTACTTAAATGAACAATGTCAGAAGTTTAATTGAATGCACTCGAAATAACGTAGGGGAGGCAGACTCCATGTAGCTTTAAAAGACTCAATACACCAATAAACCGTAAACGACTATTTGCGTGTGAGAGGCGGGACCAGATCGCCGAAGCTCTATCCTCGTGAGGATAATTGTAAGTACTCAAAAAAATTTGAAGAATGGAAGACATTCTTCCATCAGACAAGGAAAACCTGGGATTGGAGAACAAATTTGATACCAGAAGCCCACGGTAGCAGAAACAGCTGCATACTCTTATCTTTCAGAAAATGACAAAAGGGCTTTCCGGGCCCTATATACAGCGATGGCAAACCCACTAAATATGAGTCTCTAGCAAGTAATTATTAACCAAGAAAGGCAGCCCATACTCTAATGCAGTATTTATAATAACGGCATGGACCATCGTTCATATCCAAGTAACTGCCAATTAGTTCAATTGGTACTACTCAATTTGGACAAACCAGACACTTTCGTTTTACTAGCATTAAAAAATTCAAACAACCATCCTGGTTGTAGTATAGTACATGTACTATACTAGGCCTAGTAGTAATTATTTTTGAAGTTTAGCTCCGCCCCGCCCCATAATCCCCGCCTAATGTGAATAACACCAAATTATATCAAACTCCATATTCATGATGGTGCCCATAGTTGATAAAAATACTATCTGAACAAGAGGGTTGGTTGGGAGAAGAACCAGTAGAAAATATAAGCGGTCCAAGGGAATGCAAAGCTACTTTCCCCTAGTTAAAAATATCAGTGATTAAACAGAACTGGACTTTGCCACACTGATGGAGGTGAAAAATCACCATAAATTAAGTCAAGGGAAATTGACAAGGTAAACAAACTTCAAATTCCATAATGAGGAGTCATTCATAGAAATTAAATTTTCAAAAATGTCAGTTGTCAAACAGTTTTAGAGCTGTCAATAAGAATAGATTAGACTTAGAAATCGAAGGTAATTCGACAAATTTTTATACGTAAATGACAAAAGCCCGAGAACCTTTTATATTAATCTTAAAAACATTCCGAACGCGGGACTAGGAACATGGCTAAACCCTGCAAGTACACCTAGACGAACACGCCTGCCAATAGTAAAATATCTCCTATACAGAGAGCACCAGCGTGACTGAGCCCAACATAGGTGCAGAAACTAGCTCCCAGGAACCTATTTACAGCTAGGTGATCCAGGGCACGAGATCAGAATAAAACTGGCCATCACGTGGACTTAAAAGAGTTAAAACACCATTTATAACTTGAGGGGAGGGGGACACGGAGAGGGGAAGGGGGGGAGAGGGGAAGGGGGGAAGAGAGCAAGACGTGTGCACCAGGAGATGGCGGGGAGGGGGGAGAGGCGTGTGCGACAAAGATGGGACTGGGAGGGGCTTCAGGATGAGAGGCGTGTGCACAACGGAGAGAGAGGGGGGGGGGAGAGCTCGGGGCGTGTGCACCACGGCGAGAGGGGGGGGGGGAGAGCGGGGCGTGTGCACCACGGCGAGAGAAGGGGGGGGGGGGGGGGAGAGCGGTGCGTGTGCACCACGGCGAGAGGGGGGGGGGAATTGCGGGGCGTGTGCACCAGGGAGAAGGGAGGGGATTGCGGGGCGTGTGCCCAAGGGAGAATGGGGGGGGGAGAGCAGGGCGTGTGCACCAGGAGGGGGGGGAGCGGGGCGTGTGCACCCGGAGGGGGGGGGTGGAGGAGAGCGGGGCGTGTGCACCAGGTGGTGGGGGGGGTGGGGGAGAGCGGGGAGTGTGCACCAGGGAGAATAGGGGGGGGGGGAGAGCAGGGCGTGTGCACCAGGGAGAATGGGGGGGTGCAGGGCGTGTGCACCAGGGAGAATGGGGGGGGAGAGCAGGGCGTGTGCACCAGGGGGAATGGGGGGGGGGAGCGAGGCGTGTGCACCAGGGGGAATGGGGGGGGGGGGAGAGCGAGGCGTGTGCACCAGGGGGAATGGGGGGGGGAGAGCGGGGCGTGTGCACCAGGGAGAATGGGGGGGGGAGCAGGGCGTGTGCACCAGGGAGAATGGGGGGGGAGCAGGGCGTGTGCACCAGGGAGAATGGGGGGGGGGAGCGGGGCGTGTGCACCAGGGAGAATGGGGGGGGGGAGAGCAGGGCGTGTGCACCAGGGAGAATGGGGGGGGGAGAGCAGGGCGTGTGCACCAGGGGGAATGGGGGGGGGAGAGCAGGGCGTGTGCACCAGGGAGAATAGGGGGGGGGGAGAGCGGGGCGTGTGCACCAGGGAGAATAGGGGGGGGGGAGAGCGGGGCGTGTGCACCAGGGAGAATAGGGGGGGGGGGAGAACGGGGCGTGTGCACCAGGGGGAATAGGGGGGGGGCGCGTGTACCAGGGAGAATAGGGGGGGGGCGCGTGTGCACTAGGGAGAATAGGGGAGGGGAGCGAGGCGTGTGCGCCAGGGAGGGAGATGGAAAGGAAGGGGGGGTGAATAACGAAGCGTGTGATAAAATAGTAAATTATAGACTAGCGCCAAGGGCTTACACAACATAACGGCTCTCACTGTAATTAGCGTTCACCGAAACTTTAGAATCACTTAACTGTTACAAGGACCTCTTGTCATTGACGGGAAATGCGCTGGACGGCTGTCACCCTCCTAGCCTCGTTTGCAGGCTGCCCGCTGCGTACCCAACCCTGCAATACCCACATGCGTTAATAAACTGCGGCAGCGTACACCTTAGACATAAAAGACTTACTGGAATTAAAAAAATCTGAACCTCTATCACTTACGGGTGAATTTTAATTTCTCGGCTTGATAAACGGGACCCCTTGAGAAACTACCGCTACCCGGTGCCCACAGTACTCAAGGTTGACGTGGGTCAGGGATCTCAAAGTCTAGTAACGAGGCCGGAATAAGAGTCTGACGACCCGTGGCGACAGAAGCGACTCGTGTCGAAACTGCACTAAAGGTTCCTTCAACGCCTAGTCCGACGACGGGTCTTCAACCAGTGATCCTGGGCGGGGTCCTTGTTCACTGCTGAAGGACGATTATAGCGACACTTTCGGGGTCTTACTCCCTACCGACCCTCGGGCGAGGGCCGGACCGACACACTCACTGCCCCCAGGGCGAGAGTCAACTGACACAGTCACATCAGCCCCAGCACTCACCTCTGGTGTTACCAAACCAATTTACCTGATTAGTACGAATTAAAATGTATATTTAAAACGCAAATTTTTATTTAAAATAATTTTTTTGGTGATAAATACGCGAGTAAAATATACAATAATAAAGTATTCCGGCTACCAGGGTAAAATACCTTCGACTAGTCCGGTTTGCAGTTACTTAATATTATAATTTACCGCCATCTATTGGTGTGATATGTAACCGGTGGGGACATTTTCTATAGCATGTCTGGTGGGGGTGTTAGGTGTGTGTGGTGTGGGTGTTTGGCGTGTGTGGTGGGGGTGTTAGGTGTGTGTGTGTGGAGTGGTGTTAGGTGTGTGTGTGTGTGGAGGGGTGTTAGGTGTGTGTGTGTGGAGGGGTGTTAGGTGTGTGTATGTGGTGGGGTGTTAGGTGTGTGTGTGTTGTGGGGGTGTTAGGTGTGTGTGTGTGTGTGGTGGGGGTGTTAGGTGTGTGTGTGTGGTGGGGGTATTAGGTGTGTGTGTGTGTGGTGGGGTGTTAGGTGTGTGTGTGTGGTGGGGTTTTTAGATGTGTGTGTGTGGTGGGGTGTTAGGTGTGTGTGTGTGGTGGGGGTGTTAGGTGTGTGTGTGTGGTGGGGGTGTTAGGTGTGTGTGTGGGTGGGGGTGTTAGGTGTGTGTGTGTGTGTGTGTGTGTGTGGTGGGGGTATTAGGTGTGTGTGTGTGTGTGGTGGGGTGTTAGGTGTGTGTGTGGTGGGGGTGTTAGGTGTGTGTGTGTGGTGGGGGTGTTAGGTGTGTGTGTGTGTGTGGTGGGGGTGTTAGGTGTGTGTGTGTGTGGTGGGGGTGTTAGGTGTGTGTGTGTGTGGTGGGGGTATTAGGTGTGTGTGTGTGTGTGGTGGGGTGTTAGGTGTGTGTGTGGTGGGGGCGTTAGGTTTGTGTGTGTGTGGTGGGGTGTTAGGTGTGTGGTGGGGGTGTAAGGTGTGTGTGTGTGTGTGTGTGTGTGTGTGTGTGTGTGTGTGTGTGTGTGTGTGTGTGTGTGTGGTGGGAGTGTTACGTGTGTGTGTGTGTGGTGGGGTGTTAGGTGTGTGTGTGTGTGTTTGGTGGGGTGTTAGGTGTGTGTGTGTGTGTGGTGGGGGTGTTAGGTGTGTGTTTGTGTGTGGTGGGGGTGTTAGGTGTGTGTGTGTGTGTGGTGGGGTGTTAGGTGTGTGTGTGTGTGTGTGGTGGGGTGTTAGGTGTGTGTGTGTGTGTGTGTGGTGGGGTGTTAGGTGTGTGTGTGTGTGTGTGTGGTGGGGTGTTAGGTGTGTGTGTGTGTGGTGGGGTGTTAGGTGTGTGTGTGTGTGTGGTGGGGTGTTAGGTGTGTGTGTGTGTGTGGTGGGGTGTGTAGGTGTGTGTGTGTGTGTGGTGGGGGTGTTAGGTGTGTGTGTGTGGTGGGGGTGTTAGGTGTGTGTGTGTGTGTGGTGGGGGTGTTAGGTGTGTGTGTGTGTGTGGTGGGGGTGTTAGGTGTGTGTGTGTGTGGTGGGGGTGTTAGGTGTGTGTTTGTGGTAGGGGTGTTAGGTGTGTGTGTGTGTGGTGAGGGTGTTAGGTGTGTGTGTGTGTGGTGGGGGTGTTAGGTGTTTGTGTGTGTGGTGGGGGGTGTTAGGTGTGTGTGTGGTGGGGTGTTAGGGGTGTGTGTGGTGGGGTGTTAGGTGTGTGTGTGTGGTGGGGGTGTTAGGCGTGTGTGTGTGGTGGGGGTGTTAGGTGAGTGTGTGTGTGTGGTGGGGTGTTAGGTGTGTGTGTGTAGTGGGGGTGTTTGGCGTGTGTGTGTGGTGGGGGGGTGTGTATATATATATATATATATATATATATATATATATATATATATATATATATATATATATATATATATATATATATATATATATATATATACGGAAGCAATACAATCACAATTACGTTGTGCTGTATTTCCAGCCGCTAACAAGATACGTCTGGTGAGACTGATGCCTCGCAGGGGGGGGGGGGGCATGGAAATATTAGCGAGATAAAGTCGGTGAGTGTGAGCGAGGGGCCATCACTCATCCCAGTAGCGCCCCGACGTCAACTCGACGTCAGCTCGCGGGGGGCCCCTGGGCGCACCGTCCGTGAAATAAAACTTAAGAGGACCCCGCTCTTCGTGACATTTTACGCTGCTTACGAAGTGAAATTACAGTTTGTTTTGATGGTTATGAGTGTGCGATGGGTTGGTTCTGCGTGTCAGTGAGTTTGTGTATTCATAGATTGTGCACATTTGTGAGGGGGGAGACTCGCGGTACAGCCAGGCTGGCAATGTATGGGTCGCGAACTGTGAAATTACATTTCTTCCTCGGCCGCGTTGATGAGTTGTTGTGGGGTTAATCTCGCTCGTATTAAGGCAGGTTTCTGGCATTATTCTCCAGAGTTTTGTCACGACAATGTAATGACAAAGGAAACTGTTATAGCCGTTTTTATTTTTAGTTGTCGGAGAGAGTTTTAATGTTTCGGTCTAGAGACTCCTCAGGGTGAGGGTGTCTGCCTTCCACCTCCCTCGCTCTGTGTCATCAGAATACTTGTCACCTCCATGATGGTCTTCTCGTCTCTAGAGTCTTGGGGCTGTGTTGTGTATATATGTGGCTTTCTAGAGGAGCTGGTCTCCCCCCTGCCCCTTTCCCATACTCATTCCCCTCAACACTCCCTCACCCACCGTTACCCTCTCGCGTCTCCACTCTCCTCATCCTGCACAGAAAATAAAAACGATTTCCAATTAGAAAATTCACGACGGTAAAATTGGTGGTTGGAGTTTTATGATGTGTGTGTGTGTGTGAGGGAGGCAGATCCTTCCTCACTACCCAAAATAAAAATGATGCTACTATCTTTGCACCGACGCTCCTCATCTGTCACTACCAAATGAGAGGACCTTCAGGGGGGAAGGAAATGTTGAGGGTATGGTACTTGGGAACCGGGTCTTGCCCTTAGGGGGTTGGGTAAGGGGCTGTGTGCCTCTGACAAAACCCAAAGAGCAAAAGTCAACAAATTAAAATACGAACCATCCACCGTAAAGCTTAGTCCCCAGAGTACTGTGCTTGCTCCAGTACTTGTTCTCATTTTCATCTCGAATATGGACAAAGACACAAACTGTGGCACCGTATCATCATTTGCTGATGACACCACAAATATTTATGAGTTGACAAAATTGATTACACAGTACACCTTCAAACTGTAAATCTTTCCAGTTGGTCACAGACATCAACATGATTAGAGAATACAAGTTTTTACCATATCGCTCCTCCGATATGGTAAAAACGAATATATTAAATCAGAAACTACATATAACACAGTCAAATCATGCAATAGCAATAGAAAAAATACAAAAGATTTGGAATTAATCACGTCGGAAGACCTTACTTTTAACGATCACAATAAAATAGCTGTCAGAACTGCAAGAAAAATAACCAGCTGGATAACAGCAGCTTTTCAAACAAGATATGCAAGACCAGTCATGGTACTGTTTAAGAGACTGTTGATCTCTAGGGTGGAACACCGTTGTAGACTAATAACCCCCCATTCAACAAGTTGCTGACTTGGAGAACGCGCAGAGTTATTTTACTGTCCTAATCCACTCAATTAAACATAAAAATTATTGGGAAAGTTTAACATTTCTAAATGTATAGTCAATAAAGTGTAGGTGAGAGACTTATAATAATTTACAAGGAAAGTATTAGATGGACTGTTCCAAATCTGCGCTCGGAAACAGCTCTTTACAAGATCACGAGACACAGCAGGAAGTGCAATATAGCCCCTCTTGAGAAACAAAGGTGCAATAGGTACACTGAAAGACACCTCTATCACCATTAAGTAACCAAAACCCTTTAATACCTTCCCTTTAAACATGAGGACACAGCTAGTCGACCTCTCCTGGTGTTCAAAAGAGAACTGGATAAACACCTTCCATGAATACCTGATCAACCGGGCTATGACTAATGCATCAGACTGCGAAAAGCAGTGCTAATAGCAAGGCTTACTATACCACCAGCCAAGAGGCCAGGTCAGAAACCGGGCCGTGGTGACACTAATTCCAGGAACCAACAGGTCTAGGTGATGGAAAAATGTTCAGATTTGGTGATTGTGTGAGTTATAATGCGAGTGTGTGGCCTATATTGGGTGGTGTGGCCCGTGTGGGATGGTGTGGCCCGTGTGGGATTGTGTGGCTCGTGTGGGATGGTGTGGCCCGTGTGGGATGGTGTGGCTCGTGTGGGAGGGTGTGGCCCTGTATAGGAGGGGGTGTGTGCCCATTCGGGTAGCTTCTGCCTCTTTTTTCCACCACAAGTCCACTATTGACGGTGGCAAGTCAATAAATAAAGTGCTGTTATACATTTATCCTTGTGTACTTCTCCCCTTCTTTTCTATCCTCCATCCTTCCCTATTCTCACCTAATCCCTATACCTACTCTTCAGAGTCACACCTGACCCCCCCCCCCCGGTCACACCAGACCCCCCCCCCCCCCCCGCTGTAACACCAGACCCCCCTGTCACACGTGACCTCACTCTCGCGACCCCCCACCCCTCCCTCGCAGGGGCGGCCAGTCGCAGCCTGGAGGCCGGGATGAGTGCTCATAACAAACAGAGGTCGTCCTCGGGGTTGACACCAGCGGGAGTTTTACCACAGCGTCACAAAGCACCTCCATCCCCGCCCCGGACACGCCATCCGTCGCTTCGATCGCTCACATGCCAGCCTTTTTCCCCCACTCGTTTCCTCCGTCAATGGCTCGTGGAGTGATTGGATTGTTTTTAGCGTCCCTAATGGGCAGTATTTCTCATACCCCCCTCCCCCTCCCTCCCCACTATTCCCCCCACACAAAATTTCACCTCTTGCACCCCTCTTCCCTTCCCCCCCTGTGCCCCACACACACACCACAACCCTCTTGGGTGAGTTTGGGCACATCACAGCCCTCTTGGGTGAGTCTGGGCAAATCACAACTCTCTTGGGTGAGTCTGGGCACATCACAGCCCTCCTAGATGTGT